TGCATTTAAAAGTGTTTGCATGTGAGTGTGTGTGGGTCTGTAGGTGTGTGTGCTTGAGTGTTTGAATACGAGTGTCTGCACGTGTCTATGTAAAGAGAGAGAGTGTGTGTGTGTGTGTGTGTACACTGCTTGGTGTTGGTGTGTGTGTGTGTGTGTGTGTGTGTGTGTGTGTGTGTGTGTGTGTGTGTGTGCGCATGTGTGTGTTAATGCATTTAAAAGTGTTTGCATGTGAGTGTGTGTGGGTCTGTAGGTGTGTGTGCTTGAGTGTTTGAATACGAGTGTCTGCACGTGTCTATGTAAAGAGAGAGAGTGTGTGTGTGTGTACACTGCTTGGTGTTGGTGTGTGTGTGTGTGTGCATGTGTGTGTGTGCGCATATGTGTGTGTTAATGCATTTAAAAGTGTTTGCATGTAAGTTTGCGTGGGTCTGTGGGTGTGTGTGTGTGTGTTTGCGTGTGAGTGTCTGTGTGTGTCTAAGAGAGAGAGAGAGCGTGCGAGTATGTGCGCATATGTGTGTGTTATTGCGTTTAAAAGTGTTTACATGTGAGTGTGTAGAGTGTTTTGTGTGTGTCTGAATTAGTGTTTGAGAGTATTTGCATGTGTGTGTGTGTGTGTGTGTGCGTGCATGTTTGAGAGTGTGCGTATGAGTGTATGTGTGTCTGTGTGACTAAGAGAGTTTGCGAGTGTGTGTATGTGTCTGTTGTTTGGAGCGTGTGTCTGTGTGGAGTGTGATTGAATGCGTGTGTGTGTGTGTGTGTGTGTGTGTATGGTAGTGCGTTTAAAAGTGTGTGTGGGTCTGTGTGTGTGTGTGTCTGCTAGTGGTTCTGTGGGTTGTAAAGTTAATCTGGCTGAGTTGAGATGATGATGAGCTGCCTGCCACTTAACAGGGCGGAGATCCACTTTGATCACACGGCCTCGGGCGCAGCCTATTACAAATCACCTCATTTGCATACAGCACAGGCTGATGGGAAGACTACAATCCACTCTAAAGGGCTCCACCTCACTAATGTGCAGCAGAAGAGAGACAGAACGAGGAGAAGTGAAGGAAAGATGGACAGATGACAGTCAGGAGATCCAGCACGCACACATCATTAGACAGCAGAGTTTAGAAAGCTGCAGTGACTCTTTTCATCATCAGCTGTGACATCTCTGATGTACAGAACATATATAGATTATCACATGCACCGATCTCTTCTCTATCAGCCAGAAAGGCCCGTTCACACTGGCAATGTGGAGATTTAATCACAAGTGATCAAAGTGAAAGGGCGGCGCAGTGGGTAGCACTGTCGCCTCACAGCAAGAAGGTCACCGATTCAAGCCTTAGCTGGGTCAGCTGGTGTTTCTGTGTGGAGTTTGCATGTTCTCCCCGTGTTGGGTTTCCTCCGGGTTCTCCGGTTTCCCCCACAGTCCAAACACATGCGCTATAAGGGAACTTAATTGGCCGTAGTGTGTGTGAATGAGTGTGTATGGGTGTTTCCCAGTCATGGGTTGCAGCTGGATAGGCATCCGTGGCGTAAAGCATATGCTAGAAAGTTGTCGGTTCCTTCCCCTGTGGTAACCCCAGATTAATAAAGGGACTAAGCCGAGGGAAAATGAATGGATGAATGATCTTTCCAGGGCTCAACAATAAGGACTGCCCGATGGCCCGGGGCCAGTGTGAGAGATGCTCGGGACAGTGGACAGAATTGTTACTGGCCTGATCGGGGCAGTGCCGCCTTGTCACTAAATTTTAATGGATGGCAACATGACCACGACATTAAATTATGAGGCTAAAGGAAATGTCTGTTTCTAACTTTGTGGAAACATTTAAATGGGTACAGCATGACGAAAAAAATGAAGGTGATGTTTTGCTTAGTTTGCCGCCACTTTTAAGTCAGCCACCTTTTGTTTGGCGATAAAATACGTGCACGTTTCCCATACTGCTATATTTTACTGCTAAATATTTTTCAAATATTTAAATTATACAACTGCTGACATTATTTTCATTCATTCATTTTCTTTTCGGTTTTGTCCCTTTATTAATCTGGGGTCGCCACAGTGGAATGAACCGCCTGACATTATTTCGTGAAACATTATTTAATATATGTGGCTAACTTTTTTATTTCTTTTATGGGGCCAGTGAAAATTTCGGCAGGGCAAGTAAAAATTTGAACCACTGGTCCAATCGGGCCAGTAGAAAAAATCCTTAGCGTTGAGCCCTGCTTTCTGCTTCAGCATTTGCAGGGTTGCAAAATACATCAGGCTGACATGCTTCTGAGCTGTAAACACTCACGTGATTGAACGCATTCAGACTAAGTGGCAACCTCCCGCTCTCCCATGTGAAATACGGAAGTTACTGAAACTGCAATTCATCGAAATTCCTGGCTCCATATTTTCTTGCTAGTGAAGCGTTCAGTTTTTCCTCTTACAAAGTCCACCATGTAAATAGCAAATGCGCCATGGTGTGACGCAACTGACTCTTAAAGGGAATATGAGATCGGTCTCTGATTGGTTTAATGCAGGTTAAGCTCAGAACACACCCAGAACTCATTAAGAGAATAAGCACAGCACTGTTAGACCATGCGCTGGAGCGTATTTTACCGTCCATACAAAATCAAAAGTAGATTCTTTAGACTTTGTGCCTAGATCCTTAAAATAGAGTCCATAGTCTGCATTCCAGTCCAATTGTTATGCCCTTCACTCCTTCTCGTTCCTCCCCGTTTACTCTAATGCAATTTCGTTTTAAAACGCATAAGTTTTGCTACGGTTACGCCATCCGTCCACACTACGCCGGAGTTTTCGAGCGGCGAAAACGGAGCATTTCGAAAACGCTGGAGAACTTTTTTCATTGTGAAACGCTCCTGCTCCGTCTGCTGTGGATGAGGAAAAACGGAGACATCTGAAAACTGAGGCGGGCAGGCCCGTGCAGAGACCGTCCAAAGGGCATGTGCAGGATACATTTTTGGAAGAGCGGGGGGGGGGGGGTTGGATGCGCGCGTACTGAAGAGCGATGTTATCGCGCGCGTACTGATCAGCTGTGTTGTCGCGCGCGTACTCAAGAGCAGTGTTGTCGCGCGCCTACTGAAGGGCGGGACCGAAGGTGTGCCGCGTCACGGGGGCACTTTTGATCATTTTGGAAGGGCACTTTCTATCCAAGACTAAAAAGGGCATGTGCACTGCACAGGTTGAGCCCTATGTGTGCACCTGCCTGGAGGCAGGGCTGCTGAGATTCACTACCTGATTGGGGCTTTTGTGTCATTGCGTGTCCTTCCCTTATTCGTCAAGCCCCTATCACATGACTATAACACATGGCTTTATCGCTACCGGAAAACAGTACTGTGAACAACAACATGGACACAGAAATGGGAGCGTTGTTTGCACTATTGTCTGTTTTAGGCGCCATTGTGCAGTTATTCATGTGTTACGTTTAGTAACAACTCGACCTCGTCGTCTATCTGCAAAAATCCCTCTCTTGCTTTCTTTGCCATCGCGTTTAATGTTCAACCGGCGTCTGTTGACTAACAATAACCAAATGCCGAGCGTGACACATGCTTTCTGTTTATACTAGAACGCGCATGCCTGGTGTGTGTAAATGGTCACGTGATGTACGTTTTTGGTGGCGTAGTGTGGACGGAGATATGTTCAGAAACGCTAGTGTGGACGCGGATTGTTTTTGATCTAAAACGCCGTTTTAAAACTAAAACGCACTAGTGTAAACAGGGCCTTAGTGCATCATTAGATCCTCGGGGAATTGAAATCAGCACTATTTTTTTTAATTGCCAAACAATCTGCGCCTCACACCTAGGTAACGACTTCTAATTGTCAGTCTTTTTTGCGAGCGCTAGACCAGATCGTCCTGCCTTTATGATGCTAATGGCCTCAGCAAATTATCTGTCGAACAGAAAAAAAAACTCTCCAATCAGATTCCCCATTGCGCTCCGGATAAAAGCACAGCACATTCTCCTAAATATCAGAGCTGAAGGAAAAAAAAAAAAGAAGAGGAGGAAGACGCTCATTTCTTCACAGGACATCAATCAATGATAATAATTTCTCAAACTTTCTTCTCCCTTTTTTTTTTGCAGGAGTCAGACTTTAAATGGCATTACATATGTAGCACGGCATAAAAAATTCATCTGCCGGAGCCTTGAAATGTCAGTGGTAATGATGGAAGCCTCACCTCCTTTGCTTTCTGCTTCAGACGGGCTTGTTCTGGATCTTCTTGCCGCGAGCGACTCTGGGAGAAAAAAAGAGAGGGAGAATAAAAAGATGGAGGGAGGATGAACGACAGAAGGAAGGATGGAGAGAGAGACGGGCAGACGGCAGGTGAGTGTGTCGTCAGCTCACCTCATCTGCCGCACTAAAATAGTTGCGGACAAACGAGGGCAGATCTGATGTGTCAAGGACAGTGTGTGTGTGTGTGTGTGAGTGTGTGTGTGTGTGTGTTTCAGCAGTGAGTGATTCTATAGCTGTAGGCTGTGCCCTCCAAACACAGCTGACACACACACACACACACACACAAAATGCCACGGGCAATAACTAATCAAGAGACATGCACAGGCACACACACACACAAATGCAGGTGCAGTCAACACTCCTCAGTGTGTGTGTGTGTGTGTGTGTGTGTGTGTGTGCATATAAACATAAAAACTTTTAATCCAGTTTGTGTGTATTTTATTTTAATAAACCGCAGCCCAAAAATGCACATGTTGAAGACATTATTAGCCCTCCTGTCAATTGTTTTAATGAATTTTAATTTAATTTAATTTTATTTTTAATATTTCCCATGAGATGTTTAGCAGAACAAGTGTTTCCCATAATATATACACATTTCTTCTAGAGAAACTCTTATTTCCTTTAGTTTGGCTAATAAAATAAAAGTAGGTAGTGTTGTCGCCTTAAAGCAAGAAGATCGCTGGTTCGAGTCCAAACTCCACAGTCCAAACACATGCGGTACAGGTGAATTGAGTAGGCCAAATTGTCCGTAGTGTATGAGTGTGAGTGAGTGTGTATGGATGTTTCCCAGA